AGTGCCTTGGTGACATCAGATAGTTGCCCCTGGCACAGAGAGGTCTGGTAGAGGACAGCTTGGATGTGGGCATAACTCTGCACCGTGGTAACATCAGTTGCTCCTGGTGCAGAGAGAACTGTGGGATCTGCTGGGGCTGAACCACGTCTCTGGTTGGGACCCAATAAGCAGATACAAAATTATCGTGACTCTGTGACGTCCACAAGGTACAGCCTAACTTGTGCATTGACTGGCACAGAGGCTGGAGGCTAGCCTGCACCGTCGCTGCACCCCTGCCTACCTCAGATAACAGCAAATTGGGGAGGGTAGCAAAAACTCCAGTCAGCATGCTACGGAAAGACCCTAAGCAATACGGAGAGGGTCAGAGACCCCCAGGATGCACCAGTCTGAAAGAAACCAGAAACATGACAAGGGATAGAAATTTAAAAAAAATCTCTAGCTGCTGAACCTGGGAAAATAAGCCCAGGAGAAGTAAATACAGAAGAGAACCAGCATAGTAACCATCCAATACTAGACACAGCATCAGCCGATATAAAGAAATATCCTCATGACCTCATAAGACGAATTTAAAACTGTACTTCTGATCCAAGTGAGGCAAGATATAAAGAGATTAATTAAAGAAATGATAAGCCCCTCCCAAGAGAAGAACAGAGGAAATCAGAAAAGAAAGAGAAACCTCTGATGAAGAATTTAAACATAACCTAGAATACATGAAACAGATCCAAAGAGATTACCAGGAAACTAAAAACTCCATTGAAAACTGGCAAAATGCCTTGACAGAAACTAAAGTTAGCCTTTTGAAACTTGAAGAGAGATCTATGATATATGATTGTGAAAGAAAAGGCCTCTTAAAAATAATGAGGAACCAGAAAAAAATAATTCAAAGGATAGAAGATGACAAAAGTATACATAACCTAAGAATAAAGCACGTGAGTGAGGAAGCAGGAGTAACCAAAAATGAACTACAAAGAATATTCACAGATATATTAAAGGAAAACTCCCTAAGCATAGGAAAAAGAAATGATATCCAGATAAATGAGGCATACTGAACTCCAGCCACCTACAACCAAAACAGATCTACACCCAGACATACAATAATCAAGATTCCAGAAATTCACCAAAAGAACAGAATATTAAAAGCAGCCAGGGAAAAGAAGCAGATAACCTACAATGGGAAAATTATCAAAATAACAAAAGATTTATCAACACAAACTCTCAAATTGAGAAGGGCCTGGGGGAAATATTCCAAGCCCTGAAAGAAAATAATTTGCAACCAAGACTAATATACCCAGAAAAACTCTATCTCAAAATTAATGGAGAAATAAGATGTTTCCAAGACAAGGAGGAAGTGGGAGCTCATGGCCACCAACCCAACCCTACAGAGAGTGCTAAAGGACATTCCAGAGAGAGAGACAAAGGGATACCAAGATTCCAGCAACAGTGGCAGAGAGGCCTCAATGAACAGGGCAGACAGTGGAATGAGGGAGCAAGGTAGACAAATTATAGCAGTAAAGTGGAGTAGCAGACATGAGGCAGAGACGGTAAGCTATAATCTTTAATATAGATAGCCTTGATACACTAAAAAAAGGCAGATGTCATTGTTAATAGTGTATCAGGATTTAGAAGTCACAGTAGTCTTATTGCTCTGTTTAGTTTGAATTTATTTTGTTCCAGTATGTCCACTCATATCAGATTTGAGGGCACAGACAGCTAACCCAAAAATTGCAGGTTATACCATGGTAACTAGCCTTAATTTCCTATTAACTTAAACTGAAATCCTGTATTACTTACATTGTTTTACTATGACTGATCTTATTTGAATCTGATTTGTTGGATGCGGTTTTGCCTTGGCTTATTTTATTCGAATTTGGTATGCTTCATAGTATCAAGTCTAAAAGTAGAAGCAACTACTCTGAAGATGACAAGATGTAAAAGATATCCATACTGGTTTTTATTATTAACAGCTTTCAAGTCCTACAATGTTTTCAGTGTTATGTTTTTATAAAAATAGCTATGTAATACTATGCTTAAGTATATTAAGCCTGATGATGTGGACAAGTCTATTGAAAATAACAAGAGAAAGCATAGTAACTACAGTAGATCACCTAATATTGTGGTCTTATATGTCTTTTTCATTGCATGTTTTTCTAGGAATTTGTTTTGCTGTCTTGTTATGATTTGTTTTTCCCTATAATACAGAGAGGATGGATATACATGTAGAAATTCACACATGGGAAGAATTTTTTAAACTATTTACAGAAACAGATTATATAATGCAAGATGTAATGAACAGATACTCTGAAGAAGAGACACTAAGAAATCCAATGCTAATTCTGTAGCATTATGATACTCAAATCTAGCAATGCTATTATTCACTGTTCAGAGTGATATTAGTCTAGTCTCTTAAGTTCAATTTCAACATATGTAAAGATAAGGACAGCTACTACGAAGAGAATGAGAGACACTGTGTTACTCATTATTGGCTTCCCCAATATCAGATCTTGAAGACCTAAAAAGCCTTCATCATCCTGTAATGATTTGATTAGTTATATAATATGCAGTATGTATTCAATGTGTGTGAAGATGGGGACAACTATTTGTAAGAAAACTAGAGACAATAAGACAGTGAAGATCTCCAGTGGACATGCTTTGAAATCTGTGTTTCTTTAAATTGTTCCCTTATAAACTGTTTTGTTCTGTTTTTTTATGTTTAATCTTACCATCTTTAAGATAAAAAACAAGTGTGTAGGACTGATAACTGAACGTCACTATGTGAATGTCACTTTACATACTTTATTGATAACCATATTACTAAGTTTTTGTTGGATCGTTGAGCAGAACTGTTGGCAGTGTCACTATTTGAATGTCACTACGTGAATGACACTTTACATACTTTAATTTTGTAACTTGAACAACTATTTCCAGGGTGACAGTATGTAATTTATCCACTGGTGATTTCTTACTGTTTATTTTTCTGTATTTCTGTATTATTTCTACCCTTTTTTCCCCATTTAAATAAAAAAAAATCATCAACAGAGTGAAAAGAAAACCCACAGCATGGGAAAGAATTTTAGCCAGCAATGCCTCAGACAAAGGACTTATATCAAGAACATATAAAGAATTGAAAAACAACAAGCCCCCCAAATTCAAAGACCCTCTCCATAAATGGGCATTGGAAATAAACACACATTTCTCAGATGACGATATACAAATGGCAAATAAATATATGAAGAAATGTTCACCAGCACTGGTCATTCAACAAATGCAAATTAAAACAGCTTTGAGATTTCATTTCATCCCAGAAAGAATGGCTGCCATCAAGAAAACAACTGAAAACAAATGTTGGCGAGGATGCAGGAAAAATGAACACTTCTCTACTGTGGTGAGAATGCAGACTGGTGCAACCACTGTGGAAATCAGTATGGAGATTCCTCAAAAAACTAGGATTGGAAGTCCCATTCAATCCAGCTACTCCTCTCCTGGGTATTTTCCCAGAAAAATTGAAAAGGTCATGTCACAATGATATATGTGCACCCACGTTCATAATAGCACAGTTTATGATAGCTAAGTCTTGGAAACAACCAAAATGCCCATCAACTGCAGAGTGGATGAAAAAAATGTGGTATTTTTATATAATGGAATACAATTCAGTTATAAAAAGATGATCTTGAGGCCTTTATAGGTAAATGGAAGTAACTTGAGAATATCCTCATTAGTGAAATAAAGATTCATTAGTAAATATCACATTGTCTCTCTAGTGTAAAAAATAATAAGAACTGACAGAATAGTAGGATCCAATAGTATAATAGATATTGTAAAAGTGAAAGGTAAAGAAAGTGCTCTAAAGGATGTAATGGTATGTATAGTGTGTAAGATAGATGGCCATATTACTAAATTTCTGTAAGATTATTGAATGGAAGGGTTTGCACTGTCAATGTTTGAGTGTCTGGCCACTTTTTATGCTTGATTTTTGTAATTTTAACAACTATTATTAAGATGACAATATGTAATGTATCAATTAGTGATTTTATGTTAATTTTTAAAAATTCTGTATTCTACTTTTTTCTCTTTTGTTTCTTCTTTAATTTTCTTTTCTTTCTTTCTTTAAACAAAAATTTTTAATTTTCTTTTCTTTCTTTCTTTAAATAAAAAAATTGGGAAAAAAGATGGTCTCCTGAGAATTTACAGTTGGGCTGGCCACTAGGAAAAATAACAATTCAACAGTCGTGGGATATCTTTAGAATGCAAGGCTGCAAAGAAACAAAAATAAGTGTAGATTTACAGAAAAGATATTTAAGTGAGACAATGTGAATGTATTTCCTGGGTTCTTTCTGTTTTTTATTTCTAATTCCTTCCTGCAGTGTGATTGTATTTTTTCTTTGGAATCTATGAATAAAATAATGTTTTTCCTTACGTGAAGTTAAGTAAGTTTTTCTTTCTTGTTTTTACTATAGAAAAGCAGCAAGTCTTTTACTATTTTTAAACTATGCAACTATATCTTATGCCTGAAAATTTAACTTAATTTATTAGTTTAATACTTATAAATCCTGAGATTTGACTTTTCTCCTCTTTCTTTCTGGGTATACACAATATATAATGCTATATTGCCACATAACATTTAATAGTATATCCCTTAACAAAATAATATATTACACATTATAGATAATAACATTTTAAGGTTGATATAATTTCAGTAAAATTTATAATTTATAAAATTTATTTCTTTGCCCCACAATCTCAATACTATAATTTCCAACTTCTAGAAAATGTGTTTCCTTTAAATAAAGGATGATATAAATGTTGTGGATGTCAGAACAAGCTGTAAGACTTCCAGGTAAAATACATATGCCCAGTAAAATTTAAATTTCAAGTAAATCACAAATTTTTACATACTACATGAGATATTTACATGAGACAATGTAAACTTTAAACTAAAATAAATACTTTTATTTGGTAAATTTAGATCCATAAGTACAAGAATAAATTCAAATCAGTCTTACCTGTGTTACTTGTGATGTTTTCTCTAGGAATATCAATGAACCAGAAAATCTGACCACTAAACTTGAATGAAGAAGACATCAGAAAGCAGTATTTTACAATGTTGATAGTAATATTTATTTTGGCATATTCTACTTATCTTCTTCTTTTCTGTACTGGGGATTGAACCCAGGATCTTCACACTGAACCACACTCTCAGTCTTTTTTTTGAAATTTTGAAACAGAGTCTTGTTGATTTGCAAAATTGCCCAGACTGGACTTGAACTTGCAATCCTCCTGCCTTGGTCTCCCCGAATGTTGGCATTACAGGTGTACCCCACCACACTTGGTTATACCCTATCTCTCAAAAAAGAATTAAACAAAGGCATCCAAATACATATGCCTTTTATTTAGCAATTTTCATTGTTAGATTCTTTCTACATTATATTCATATATATATGTAAAATGATGTATATTCAAGAATATGTTTGCAATATGGTTTGGAATAGCATAAGATTGGAAATTTTGAAGTAATCAGCTGTATACAATAATATAACCACATAATGGATTACCACACAGCCAAGCCCTGGTAGCATGAAGGTGAAGTACCACTGTTTAATAATAATAATCAGAGACAAAGCATGGGACGTCAGAGCATTTGGAAATTTAAGAGAAAAATCCAAGGAGCAAGAGATCTGTAAGACATTCCTAGAAGACCAGGTCTAAAAGACCAGGTAGAGACTACCAATTCTTTTAGCTTTTACTGCTGGATTATAGTTTGAGGTTTTTGCCAAGTTATTTGCCTTTTAGAATAATAAGAAAAGCAGTTTCTTGAAAGACCAAACAGAAGAGAGTTGCTACAACATATTATCTTCAATAAGTAGTCTTTAATCAAAAGTGACAAGATATGAAAAGAAGCACAAAGTGTAACTGAGTCAGGCATGGAGGCTGAGGCAGAAGGATCACTGCAAATTCAAGGTAAGCCTGGACTACATAGAGAGTTCATGGCTAGTTTGAACTATATGGTGAGTTCCTGTCTTGAAAAACAAAATAAACAAACACATGAAAAAGTAACTAATATTCAAGAATAAAGGGTAGACACTAGACTGATTCAGAGTCAACATACCAGAAATAACTTCAAAGAATTTATTATAAAAATGTACACTGGTTTAGAAAAATGTTCTAATAAGGAAATGGATATAGAATCTCAGCATAGAGAAACAAACAAACAGAGATAATAAGATTGACAAGTATAATAACCCCAGTACACTATTTATTTAAAAGATTCAATTGCAGACTGGAGATGGAAAAAAGAAAGAGTAAGTGAATTTAGTGATATAGCAATTAAAACTACCAAATATTAAAAAAAGAGGGACATCATAAGGTGACTATAGATATAGAAATAATCTGCTGTATATTTCAAAAAATCAGAAAAAAGAATTCTGGGTGTTCTGTCCATCAAAAAATGGTAAGTTTTGAGGAGATAGCATATTTAATCTGATTTAAACTTTAATATATATGTATATATATATATATATATATATGCACATTACAGGGTAATCCATTAACATAAGACATTTTTATGGAATTAGTATATCAATTAAAAAGAAATTTTAAAAAGGGGAAGTAATTAATGAAAAATAAAATTTCATAGACTTGTGGAATAATATAACAAAATGTTCCAAAATGAGTATAATTGGATTCTAAGCAAGAAAAGAGACAGAAACACAGGTAGGAAAAAAATTTAAGAACATAATGCCTGAAGACTTTCAAAATTTGGTGAATTTGCAGTTCAGGAAGCTCAAGGAACCCCAAATAGGCAAACACAAAGAAAGAAATCTTCAAAGCATCTAGAAAAAAATGAGACAATAATAAAATTAACAGCTAACTTTTCATTCAAAACAATAGTGTAAGATTAGAATGACATATTCAAAATTCTGAAAGAAAATTAAATCAATCAGAAATTGTAGATCTGGGACCAGGGATTTAGCTCAGTGGCATAAGCATCTGCCTGACAAGCGTGAGGTTGTGAGTTTGTTCCCTGGTACAAAAAAAAAAAAAAGACAGAAATTATAGATCTGACAAAACTGTCCTTCAAAAAATTCAGGTAACCACTAAAGATCGCTTAGAACTCATATGTGAGTTCATCATGATTACTCCACATTGATACAATATGGATACAATTTGCACTCTTGAAACAAAATATTGTTAGAAGAAATTAGAGAAGATCAAAATATGTGGAAAGACGACCTCGGTTCATGTCTTGAAAGACTTAATATTATTATGATGGGAACATATCCAGATTTGTACACAGATTTAAACAAAATTTCATCAGTAATCAGTAGGTTGCTTTGTAGAACTTTATAAGCTTATCTTAAAAAAATTCATATAGAAATTTAAGGGACCCAGACTAGCAAAAAAGTTTTTGAAAATGAAGGACAAAGTTAGAGAATTCATGCTTCCTTATTTTAAAACCTAACACAAAGCCAACCATATTAAGACAACATGATAGCAGCATAAAAATAAATATATAGATCAATGCAGTAGAATTGAGAATCCAGAAACAATTGTTTATATTTATAGTCAAATGATTTTCCAACAAAGGTGTCAAAACAAGTCAGTAGTGAAATAATAATTGCCATTTAAAAAACAGTGCAAGGGGGCAGTGGCCATGGGCTGGGAAAAGAGCCAAGAAGCCAGCCTGCCCTTTCCCTGAGCCAGCCAGGGTGCAGGCTGGGAGGCAAGAACACCCTCTCCCACACCCACCCACACATGTAGGCAAACAGCTGATTCCGAGCAACACAAGTTGGGATGACAGCAACAAGGTACAAAACAACTTAATGCTTGTATTGATTGATGGACTTTGCAAGCCTGAGGCTGGGAGTTTGAGCATCTGTTTAGAGTATAACAATATACAATAGAGCAACTCTGGGGGATTTCCTTCTGTCTTGTTTTTGAAATTCAACATTGTTCCCATTGTTTTGTATGGTTCTGTCTTACTGTTTTGTTTTATTCTCATCAAAATAAAAATGGTACAAGAAAGCTGGATCTATTGTACAGTATAGAAAAACTTACAATGAATCGAAGACTCAAAGGTAAAACTCAAAGGTAAAAGCTTCTGGAAGAAAATATTCAGGTATTTCTGACTTTGGATCAGGTGATGGTTTTCTACATTGACTCAAAAAGTTCAAGGAAGGAAATATCAGATATCAAGCACACTATTAAGAAAGTGAAAGGGCAACCCATAGAATGGAAAAAGATAATTTCAAATTATATCTGGCATGGACCTCTATCCAGAATATATAAAGAACATTTGCAATTCAAAAATAATAAGACAACTCGATTAGAAGAGGACCAGAATCTATCTGGGCCCAGAATATTTCTGGGCTGGGTGTGGTGGTGCACAGCTATAATTCCAGCATTTGAGAGACTGATGCAGGAGGATTGTTGTGAGTTTGAGGTTATCCTGGGCTATATAGTTAGTTCAAGGCTGGCTTTGAACATTGAGACCCCATCTCAAAAAACTATTTCCCCAGAGAAATAGTGACCAATAAGTATATGAAATGGTACTCAAACATAATTTATCATTAGAAAATCAAAATCATAATGATAAAGTTCTTCATACTTACTAGAGGTTATAACAAAAAAACATAGCAAGTGTTGGTGAGGATATGGAGAAATTGGAACACTAATAACATAGGCAGAAATGTAAGATAGTACAATCATTTTGGAAAGCAGTCTGGCAGTTCTCAAAAAATTAAACATGGTTTTGTGTCTAGAGAAATTAAAACATTTCCACACAAATATTCAGAGTGGCATTATTTATAATAATCTCAAACTAAAATAACTCAAAGTTCATCAACTGATGAAGAAATAAATCAAATGTAGTGAATACAATGGTATACTATACAACCAGAAAAAGGAATACAGTACTGATATATGCTACAACATGGATGAAGCTTAAATACATTATGTAAATGGAAAGATGTAGTCATAAATATTATACATTATGTTTCACTTACACAGAATGCTCAGAATAAGCAAATCTGTAGAGAAATAAAGTGAAGTAGTAGGGGTGGGCAGTAGAGGGAGAATGGAAAGCATGTATGATCATGACTTTGAGTGGTCCTTTGCAGTGATGAAATTTTCTGGAATTATATTGTATGGTATGTGAATTAGATCTTAACAAAGTTATCTTAAAAATGAAGGCCAAATAAAGACCTTTTCAGAGGCAAATACAATTCATTGTCAACAGATTTGTACTGTAAAAGTGCTTAAATAAGTTTCTTTAAGCTGAAGAAAAATGATACTAGAAGCAACTTATATCTATAGAACAGAATGAAGAATAATAGAAATGACAAATACATAAATAAAAAACTGTATTTTTTCTAATTTCTTAGAAATGTTATAACTGGTTAAAGCAAGAAGCATAACACTACTTTTAGTTTTAAAACATACATATGCATGTCTTTATCTATAATTTAACATTACTGAATTATATGTCTTTAAAAACACATCCTATAAGGAAGAGCTTGTGAAAACATATCACCGAATAAAATAAAACATAATTACCAGTATTAAATTAAAGAGGAAGATGCCATGATAGGTACTATTTATGATTTCCAAGGTAGGAGCAAGTCCTCCAGATGTGAATATACTTAGCGTCTCCTTGGAAACAAGCTCATTCTCCGTTTGGAAAAAACATTTGATTTCCTTAGGAAAGAGAAAGTAAAACAAACAAGTAATGACAATTTGATGGTGAGAAGCATATTACATTAATTTATTTCTTATTTTTTTATTTTAGAGAGAATAAAGTCATACAAAATTAAACAATAAAGCCAATCACAACAAAGCAGTGCAAGTGGTACAGGACTTCAAAACAAGGTAATAGGAAATTAACAATGGTTTCCATATGTCTCCTGTTATTTTCAAAATAGCTGCCCATGTTTCAGATATAATAAAATCAAACAAAACAAAACAAAACAGAATAAGACCAAACAAAACAAAACAATGAAAATGATATAAGACTTTAAAACAAGATAATAGGAAATTAACAATGGCTTCCACATTTGGATGGAAATCACTGGCTATAAATCCCTTTTCAAGAAAAAAAAAAACAGAACTGAGCATGGTTGTGTACACATGTAATCCCATGTTGGTGCATGCCTGTAAACACAGCGGTCTGGGAGGCTGAGGCAGGAGGGCTGCAAGTTTGAGTGCAGCTCTGGTAACTTAGCAATTTAGCAAGACCTTGTCTCAAAATAAAAAAAATACAAAGCTTTGAGGATGTAGCCCCATGTGAAAGACTTGAGTTCAGTACCTATTGCTACATAACACAATACATCAAAACAAAACAAAAAAACTTAGAGAAAAAAACTGGTTGGAGAAGTTAGGTAAACTGCACAAGTCTGCACAGACCACTAACTAGCAAGCCCAAGATCTGATCTCAGCTTTGTAAGTTGTCTTCCTTGAAGGGTCACTTCTTTTCTACAATACATAATCACAATTAAGAAAGGATTTTTTTTTTTACTTAAAAGACACGCACTTCGTAATAGTTGTAAATATAAAGTTATATACGCGTGGCATTTCAAGAAGGAATTAAAAGTCTAAGTCAAAGTGGATTTAGAGATAAATGTACTTGTCTGTGAAATGTTTTTTTTTTTTTTATCGGTACCGGGGCTCAAACTCACGACCGCATGTTTGCAAGGCAGGTGCTTATGCCAGTGAGCTAAATCCCCAGCCCCTGTGGAATGGTTTGGTTTTTATTATATTTATCATAGATTTTTAGACAATCTGCATTTTTATTAACTTCTTAACATTGCTGCATGGCTATCTTAAAAAATTTTAGCAGTTCATGCAGTTTATAATCATCTTGGGGAGTGGTCACATGCACATAAAACAGCTTTTTGGTTTTTTGTCCCTCCTCCCCTGCTCCTCCCCTTCCTACTCTGGTGCCTCTATCAGCTTTTACATATTTATTGATATTATCTGTCTTAGCACATGTTATGGCATATAAAGTTTACAATGATTGCAGTATTAGGATCCTGTACCTGGCGTGTCTTTATTCTTTTTATTTCCCTTCCCCTCCTTCTCACCCTTCACTGTTATTCCTTTGGACCACTTCCCTACTAGACTACATCTATTCTCTTGTCCCTTTCTACTCGTTTTTAATATTTTCTTTGTACTTTACCTCACATAAATGAGAGACCTCATGTGGTTTTTAAGTGTGTGTGTCTGGTTTGTTTCATTCAATATGACATTCCCAGATGCATGCATTTTCCTACAAATACCTCAAATTTCTTTATAATGGAGTAGTATTCCATTATATGCAGATACCACATTTTCTTTATCCAGTCATCAGTTGATGGGTACACAGCCTGCTTCTAGGATTTAGCTATTATGCATTGTATGTTACAAACACTGGTATGTACATAATTGCTGTAGTTATGATGACTTAAGCTCTTTGGGAAGGATACCTTGCAGGGAGATAGCTGGGTTGAATGGAATTTCTAATTTCAATTCTTTGAGAAATCTCAAACTGATTTCCGTAATAATTGTACTAGTTTTGCAATACTACTATAATGAAACAGGGTTCCCTTTTCACCACAGCCATGCCAGCATTTGTTACTGCTTGATTTCTTAATGATTGTCATTTTTTCTGGAGATCGACTCTTAGCATTGTTTTGATTTGCATTTCTCTAAGGCCAAGAGATGCTGAATATTTTTTCATATATTCCTTTACCATTTGTATTCTTTCCTCTGTGAAGTGTCCGTTCATGTATCTTGCCTATTTCTAGACTATGTCTTTCATTTTAGGTGGTTTGATTTTTTTTTGAATTCTTTGTATATTCTCAATATTAGTCCTCTGTCTGAGGCATAGCTGGCAAATATTTTTTCACATTCTTTAGGTTTTTTTTTTTCATTCTACTGATTGACTTTTCTTGTACTATACAGAAGCTGTTTAGTCTGATTCTGTTTAGAAAATCTTTCCCTACACTAGTCTTCAAGTATTTTACCATGGTGAGAGATAAGGGTCCAGTTTTATTCTTCTACAAACAGATAATCAGTTTTCCCAGCACCACTGTAGAATAGGCTGGCTTCTCTCCAATATACGCTTCTGGATCCTTTGTCAAAAATCAAACAGTCGAGTATGTTTGGGGGTGTGTCTGTTGCTCAGTTCTGTTCCACTGATCTATGTGTCTGTTTTTGTTGCAGCACCATGCCATTCTTTTTAGCACTATGTTTTGTAGTGTACCTGAAGTCAGGTATTATCATGCCACCTGCTTTGCTTTTGTTGCCCAAAATTACTTTTGCTAGTTTTGGAATTTTCTGGTTCCATATGAATTTTGGGATTGTTTTTTCTAGATATTTAATGTATCCTATTGGTATTTTGACTGGGACTACACTGACTCTGTGTAAAAGTTTTGTCAAAATTGCCATTTTGACAATATCCAGGAACCAGGGACTTCTTTCCATTTTCTGAGGCCCTCTTCCATCTTCTTCACAGTACTGTAGTTATTTTGTAGAAGTTTTTCACCTCTTTGTCTGAATTAATTCCTAGAAACTTCATTTTTCTTGAAGTGATCATGAATGATATTGTATTTATAATTTACTTATCCTCTTCATTGTTTTTATACACAAATGCTAATGATTTTTGTGCATTTGTCTTATATCCTGCTACTTTGCTGAAATTGGTAGAGATGTTTGGGTCTTCTATGTAGAGTATCATGTCATTTACAAATAGTGACATTTGAATTCTTCCTTTCTTATATGTATTCTCTTTATTTCTTTCTCTTGCCTAATCGCTCTGGCTAATGTTTCAAGTACTATGTTGAATAGTAGAGATGATAGTGGACATCCTTGTCTTGTTCCTGATGTTGGGGAAATGCTTTTAGTTTTTCCCTCTTTAGTATGATGCTGGCTATAGTTTGTCATAAATAGCCTTTATCATATTCAGGTATGGTTCTTCTACACATGTTTTCTTATGGCTTTTTATCATGACAGAATGTTGGATCTTGTCAAAAGCTTTTCCTGCACCTATTGATATGACCTATGGTTTTTGGCCTTGCTCCTCTTTATGTGACGTATTACACTTATAGACTTATGTATGTTGAATTCTCCTTGCATGTGTGGGATGAAACCTACTTTATTATGATGTATAGTTTTTGGTAATGTGCTGCATTCTATTTGTTAACATTTTGTTGAGGATTTTCTCATGGCTATCTTAATTTTGTTTTGTGTATTTTAAAGTCTCTTATTTTAATCAAAGGATCATATCATCTCTTACCTACAATGAAAATTTCAATGAAGATTCTTTTTCAAGGTCATATGAGGCCATTTTCTTTCTCTAATGGATTACACTGGTCACATTTCAAAAGGACAAACAAACTCCATAAAAAATTGTGACACTTGATCTTAAAAAAGAAAGAGTGAAGAGGCAGCATTTCAAAACAACAACCACAACAGGACTTCTGGGAAGATGGCAAAGCAGTAAGCAGCAGCGGAAACAGACTCTCTGAGAGTCACCGTCCAGACACTGGAATACTTCATTGTGAGGAAGACAAGAAGGAAGGAAGTGGGTCCCCTGGACCCAGGAGGAATCTCAAGTGTGAACTGAGAGAAGGAAAAGAAAAACTTCAGCAAAGAAGAAGGCTGTAGCTGGCTGTGCCTTCACCTGGGGTTGAACTCACTGTGTGAGAGGAGCTGTTGGAACCTGGGGCACACGATCACAGTGACAGTGGCGGCTGGCGACCCCAGAGCCCTCTGCAAAGAGATGCAGCAGTGCAGGCGAGCAGTGTACATGGAGGACCACACTGGCCTGTGGTGAGTGCAGAGGACTCAGTCGTTTCATGGAGAGAGTGATTGGCTGGGAACCACTTTTGAGACAGGCCAGATAAGCCCAGAACCAGAACTGCTGCTGGCTTCCTCCCGCATTGGATTGCAGCAAGCCCAATGAATCTGGTCTTAGAACAGGCCTGCTAAAGTTATCTACTACTCTGCCATAAAGCAATGGCTGGCTTGTGGGGATATAGTGGCATTATTCAGGACTCTGTCTACACAGGCTGTCTACTAGTGAACCTAGAGACAATCCTGGAAGTGGACTATTTTTTTCTTGTTTGATCGTTTTGCTTTGTTTTATTCAGTTTGTTTTTATTTCTCTTTCTCTTTTCTTTTTTTTTTTTTTTTTAACGAGAGTGACAGTGGTTCCTAACCTCTTTTGGGTGCAGTTCTGTTCTGTCCTACCTTTTATCTCTTCCACCTCTCTTTGCCTTCAATCTTCTGCACCAGTTTCCCTAAATTGGCGGGATGTATCTTTGTTCTCCAACCTTACTTGTAATCTCTTTCTCTTTTCCTACTTCTATATTTTCTTCTTGATCCATTTTAAATTTTAATCTCTAGGACAGAATTGGAACTTTACAGATTTACATGTTGCATATAATTACTTGATTTGTTTTACATTTTGTTACATAATCACAAATCTAGTTCATATGGTTAAAAGTTGCAAATTAAGGGTTAGCTCAGTTTGTTGTTTTATAGGTTGTGTTTGATGCCCCTGGTACCAAGATAGCCACAATTGACATGATTTTTCTAAACAGCTGTCAGCCTTGATAATCCATGACTGAGATTAACTAAAAGTCAGAGTAAATACTGTGTCACAGTGCCAAAGAATCAGGGATTAGGCCAAATAAGCAACGACTTCTCATCTCCAACAA